GCTGAGGCCGAATCAGGGATATTGTGGGGCTATGACTTGAAGTGGGGTCTCAAACTTCGAGGAATGACAAATTAATAAAAAAGTACTGCAAAAAATCCACCCAGAATCTCGTCTTTTGGCTTGAAAAGAAGTCCAGAAAGCACAATACAGTACTCACAAGTCACAACAATGTATGGGGCGTACATCATAAAAAGAGTAGCATAAAACTAGGAGCTGTTCACAAAAATAAATTTGATTAAATTCATTACGTCCATGTATGGAAGCTCAGGAGACATCAAAACTTGGCCAGGAGATAAAAAGAAAAAATGTTCACTATAGGCACGAAAATTGTGAGGAACCATATCATTTACCTGCAAATGTTGACTGAGTCCACCATATAAAAAAAAATTGTCCATTCGTCACGGCAGAATTTTGGAGTTTGATGTCTCCATATATTATGTTGAAGATTCCATCCTTCGGGTTTCCACTGCGTAACATAAATATATGCTTCATTATTTAAAAATTAAATAAACCGACGATTAAATCCTTTGCGTTTTGAAGTTGGAATATATTTTTTCCACTGTAATGTAAATTAGTGTGTATGGGAAAATGGCGAGACGATTGGAATTCCACGCTGGAATTCCAACGTGGAGTTTTTCTGCGGGCGACGAACGGGAGAGGCGGCTTGCGCCACCTATCCCTTACATATTATGTTGAAGATTCCATCCTTCGGGTTTCCACTGCGTAACATAAATATATGCTTCATTATTTAAAAATTAAATAAACCGACGATTAAATCCTTTGCGTTTTGAAGTTGGAATATATTTTTTCCAATTTCCCAACGTTCAAGCATTACGATAGCAATTAAGAGAGTATTTTTCACATGCTCAAAATATTATGAGTAAAAAGGTGACTTTCAAAGTTTTTAATTGGGCATATTATAGGTGAACTTTCCTTAAAATCCTCGACAAAAACTGAAATAATGAGGTCAATAAATTGTTATTTAACAACAGTCGTATTTTCATGAAGAGATCGTGCTTCTGAGGCCTGAAAAATACTTCATCATGCAAAGTTTGAAGTACGTAAACTTGTTTATCGTTCCGTTTTTCGATTTACTTGGAGTAAATTCTCGATCAAAGAAGGTCTCACTTAATCTGACAGGATGTTGGACTGAAAGCAATCAGTGATGCTAATCTGCTGAAGACGAGTGTTTTTCGAGTCCTTCGCAAACAGTTCGGCAAAGAAAAATACTTCACTGCCCTGGTTGACATTTTCGAACAAGCTGATTTTCGGGCAGTTGTTGGACAGATTCAGCTGGAACTCATGCGAATTCATCCTGCCAAAGATGTTCGGTACGTGATTTAAAAAGAAAATCAGGAGATTAATTAACAATTTGAGCGTTGATTTTTTATTTATTTCCAGAAGTGTGATAAAATCGGGTAGATTCACAATGGATAACTACGACGAAGCAGTTTGGCTGCGAGAATCCAGCGGAACTATTTATTTCCCCCTTTTATGCGCGCATGCATTAAATGGGTGTACAATAACTCCAGAAATACGCCGAGGTTTCCAAAAGATTTCACGGCATCTCGGCTGGTTTCGGTAGGAAGTGAAACATTCTTCCGACATTTAAAAAAGAAAGAAGTTTTTTTTCATCGTTCATGATCTTTTATATGGTCCCGGTTACGGTTCCCGACTACTTTATACCTATAAAATACGTGCACATCAGTTTTGTTCTTTGTGAAATTTAAACTTTATGATTCATATACGATTACAGCATTTTCATGTTTTGTTTGGAAATAAATACGGTATTCAAATGACATTGTTGGGTGCTAGAAAACCATAATATTACGCCTAATTTCTTGTCATGATATCCTTTCAATTTCTGCTAGTGGTTGCTGTGCGACTTGCGACTGTTGCTACATAACCTGTCCTGCTTATTTTGGAAAAGATATTGCGAGTTATTCTAATTGATCTAGATGTCACTCCCTTATCCAATCCGAAGCATGAGTACTGTATATTCAATCCCATATAGGTATTATTGCAGTTTATATTTCATTGAATAGTCATCTATTCACAGTTTGTGCAAAAAAATTTTTCATTTTGGGGCATAATCCTCAGGGGAAGATTTTTCAGGCTCTTCTTATAGCTGTTGACAAATTATTTTTCTTGCGTTTTTATTATATTCCAGAGGATTATTGCATATAAGTTGTGAATATTCTCAAGTGAATTAATTTGCACGTACAAAGTTTACTTGGAGGGTTTGAATGAATGAACAGGAAGCTTTATTTTCTGCTTTTCAGCATTCACAAGGTTCAATCAACATTTCCACATCCAAACCCCCTTCCCTCCCCACCCCACCCAACCCAAATCCGTTCAGACATTTGATCACTTGATCACTTCAGCACAAGAAACAGAGAAATTAGATGCAAATGGATAACAAAAATAAAAGAAAATACATTCCACAAAACACAACTGCACAACTGAATGAATGCATGCATGAACAGAACACTTTATTTGCTGCTTTTCAGCATTCACAAGGTTCAATCAATCTGCACAACTGATATGTATGCATATGCACACCTTCTTTCCCTGTCCAAGGGTTTACAATTTTAATCCATATAGTTGTAAAGCATTCTTTTTTCTCAAGGATGGTAATCTTTGAACTGAAGTTTGACTTCTTAATACCTTTCTTGAGCTTGAGGCGTATTGCGTATATAATGAGCAATTGCGTCGCAATCAAGGGAAATTCGCGAGAGTTCCGCAAAGTAAACTTTTGTTCCTTCACGGTTTACGAGACGTGTAATCATTATTATATCAACATTTACACGTAAAAATTTTTTTTTTGAACGCAAACTAAAATAAACTTATTGCCTGATATCTTCGCAATACGTAAACAAAAGCGGCCATACGCAGTTTGTCGTTAAGTAAATACGTGATACGCTCATTAACAACACTACAAACGCGCTGTTTTTGACACTCCTTCGTATATATTTTTTTTCTGAATAACAATATGCAAAGAAATCCTACTTTCAAAAACCGCTGACCTTCTTTTTGAACTTCAGTCATTTCTGTTATTGATTTTCAATTAAATTTCAGACGCTGTGTGACGGATTATGAGGACTGTTTTGTCGTCAGAAGTGGGGAAAAGCATCCAAGATACGAATCCATTCGAAATGGTCGCTGTAACTGGCTCGCAGTTGAAATAATTCAACTTTTCAACAATACGAATGCCGTTGACAATCTTTTGGATAATTACGGTGCTAATGATGATGAAAAGTAAGTGGGATAACCAACACGCGCGTTGAAAAATATTCTAAATATTTTGCATCCAATGGAAAAAAAATTGCTGAGTTTTAATAGCAGGAAATTGACAATATTGAGTTGAGAAGGTTAGTGTAAAAACCAATTTGTAGGAGAAATTGAATCGATCCAGTATAATGTAGATAAGCTAAGATGAATGAAGACTGACGATTTATGCTAAATGCGGTGATTTAATCCTTAAATTTCAATTCATGTAAACCAGTTATTCATGTTTTTAAAATAATCGACTGATGGGGCAACATTTATTCGTTTAGGTGCCGCAAAATCCAAGAACTTTTTGCAAGTTGTGGGCTTTCCGATGTACACAAAGAATCCGTGGAGTACAATTCGAAGGAAATTCTCAAATTGCTGAATGCTCATGTTCAGTTGGACGGTGTCCGAAGTGTACTTGAAGGAATTTTGAAAGGACTTATGGTGATGGCTTAAAGTTCAAACTATAAACAATCGGTTGTATTTCGATAACCCAAGCATTTTCCTTTTATTCTTCTCGGAAACAATCGAAGTTACTAATTCTACTTGGCGCAACATTTGTGATGAATACAACGCTTTTATTTATACCCTATATACTTTATTTTTTGAAAATTCTATGCTGTTTCAAGTTTAGAAGAGGAGTTGATGGAGGGGCTTGTAACCATGAAATTTATGTACACACAGATGCCAATATTTAATTGTGGCATTTTATTTTCAGCAAAAAATTGACCGTGAATATTCACGAAAAAGATACAACCCAAGCACTGCCAAAATTTGTGATACAACTTCGGTTGCATGCGTAAGTTGTCAAGAATATCCTAACAAGTGAGAGATTGTTGCGATGATGGTTCATCGAAATAAAATACTTAATCAGTCCGGCTGTGGCTGGGGCAAAGCCCTAGTTTAATGTTGATATATCTTGGTTTTTGAAGAGGATGATTACAAGAAGCTTCCGTATTATAATTTCTGCAATTTCCAGAGTAGTTTTTTCAAAGAGTTTGAACAAACAAATAAAATATGACAATTGACAGTAATGTAGACACATGCAAAACGTCTGCTCAGCTTGAACCCTGGATTTGAATGATGATGATAGTTGGTCAGAGTTGACCAAGAAGAATATTTCAATGAAAAAATGAAAGGAGATGTCCTTGCCAACTTTCTGAGATTTCCCAAAATAGTCCCTGAAGGACAGCACTTCAATTCACAGAAGACCTTGGGAACTCGAGGTAGACTCCCACAAGATTCCTGAGGAGATTTGTTTAAAATTTGCTATCAATTCTTAAACTCATATTTCTAAACAACCCCTTTTTCATTTTCAACAGAAGTATTTTACTTGGGTAAATATGCATGTATTTTTGCACCTTCCAAAAAACAAACATTTGAAAAATTTTCTTGGCAAAATTTCAACTTGACGGGATAATACACGGGGATGTTCATATACTGACTTGTATGCCAGAAGGTACCCAACCAAAAGCCCCCCTAGGTCAAAAGCCCCCCCTGCCTAAAGCCCCCCTAGGTCAAAAGCCCTCCCTGCCAAAAGCCCCCCACCACTTTTTTATAATTGGATGCAAGTTTCATAATAGTGCTTGGTGGCCCTGAGAAGGGCTATTTGGTTTCATTAGTCCTCAAAAGTACTGTTTAATAATCATCTTGAAAATTTCCTTCTGCTGCCTCTTCCTCACTGTCACTGATGCTCTCCATGTCATTCTCTTCTATATAGCCATTGTAGTATGCAATTTGACCGCCCTTCTGATTATTGATGATCTGAAGTGCACCAGCCATTGGACCAACAAGGTGAACTGTAGATTTTTCAGAAGTCAGCAAATGATGATGCTTTGAAATTCAAAGAATCACTGATGACCATTGCAGGTGAAGAATCCCTTTATATACTCAACTTACCAACATATTGGTACTTGGCCTTGTGTTGGGCCTGCTGGTGAAAGGTGCAGCTTACCATTAAGAGTTACAAGAATACCTGTAATCCCCAATTTTTGAACCTATGGGGGGGGGGGGGGGGGGGGGGTTTGGGGGGGGGGACAAGAATACCTGTAATCCCCAATTTTTGAACCTATGGGGGGGGGGGGGGGGCTTTTGGCAGGGGGGGCTTTTGACAGGGGGGGGGGGCTTTTGACCTAGGGGGCTTTTGGACTACACCTATGCCAGAATCACTTATATACCCCACATATGCAACCTTTCCCTAAAATTTGGCATAAAATAATAAAGGCTCATCTTACTACTGTATATAATTTATGCTATACACTTATACAGTATAGCGTTTTCCATGAAATCATTTTTAAAGATAATTAAAATTATTTGGGAGCACACCTGATCAGCAAAGCGTGGTGAAAAAGTTTCCCACAGAAATCCCAATCAAAAATATTAAATTTAATAAGATAAAAATATATTTCTCAGCAGAAAATTTTCCAAGTCATCAAGAAACCCGGGTGTCACTTTTACGCAGTATAGTAATAACTAATGTATCTCTGTCGACCAGAAAAGAGGGGTTAATCGGCATAGGAAAAAAAGTGACTGGCCTATCTTTTGTACCTGCAAGCCATACTCATGATCGTAATGATGAAGCATGGACGCGAAAGTAATAGAAACAAAAGAGAAAGGTCCAACTGCGAGCAGCAAGTATAAAAGGACATGAGCGCAGAACCAACGATTCTCATCATCACGTGTCCACGGAGACGGAAAATCGATAGGATCTGGAAAGAAGTTCTGAGCTATTCTTGGGCTGTATTTTGCCCCTATAGGAGACTTCCGAAAGACTCATCTTGCAAGTATAACAGGTGACCCAATGATAAATTCAACAAAAGAAGAAGAAGTTCAAGACTCACACTCTGCTTCGATTTTTTTCATGCGAGCATGTTTTCAATTTCAAAATAATGTTGCGCGCATTCTCGTTGAATTATTATCCAATTTTTTTTTGAAAATGTGTTTTTTACAGACTCTTGGTTTTGATGGTTTTTTTAGGAATATTTCCGTTATTGATAGTTTTGAGGTTGTTTGTTGTTGTTGTTTCAACATCTGTCCAGTCTGTGACACTCCTTTTACTCATATACCATATTTACTTGAGTACCATGCGCCCTGGAGTAAGGCGCGCACAGGGGTTTTTCAGTTGAAAATTTTGCAAAAATCTCAACCCCAAGTAAGATGCGCACCCCAATTTTTAAAGAATCTAAAACCATAAAATTTCACATTAAAAAAGAAAAAATGTGACTTTAGGCGTGAATTGAACAAAAATCTGATGAATTTTCAACTTTTTCAATGCTTAAATGTTTTCTTGTTATATTTGTTCCAAATTTCTCCATTATAATTAAGTATAATGCCTACATAACTTCCTAAAACTTCTTGAAAATTTTGTACCCACTTATGACATGCACCCCTTTTTTCTTCTGAAATTTGGGAAAAAAGGTGCGCGTGGTACTTGAGTAAATACAGTAATAATCCCACAAAAAAATTAATGATGGGTGAAAACTTCATTTGACACTGAATTCCTCTGCCTGACGAGAACCGCACTTTGAAAGGAAATCTTGAATGTTCACTGACTTGATTCTCTCGAGGAATTGCCGATGAATCAGATGCGACAATCTTTGTGAACATTTAATCACCCTTTCGTTTCTTTTTAGAAAATATTTCATTATTTTTCCCTGCCTTTTATAATAAGCTACAATAACGAGAGGAAGAGAAGCCAGCTCTCGGCCATAAACAATGCTTCAACGAGAAGCAGGGTGCTTGACCGATTGTCTCTCCCTTCATCCTTTCCCTGAAGAACACCTTTCCGTCAGATGCTTCCCAAAAGTTTCTTTTTCAAATTATTTTTCTTTAATCGCAAGATACGATGCACTCAGATACAGTATTGTTTTACAGGATGAAAGGGTTACGCATGTTACTAACAAGTACAACTCGGGCAAAAAAATCATGTCGACATGTATAAAAGTACCTGCCATCAGAAATATGAAAGTCTGAAATACGAATTGAAAGTTATACTTTTTTCAAAGTGAATTACAAATATGTATTTCTGCCAAATGAGTGAAATTAGCTGCATATATAGTGTCACGGGTCAACCAGATGTTGCTTGTTGATGCATCAATTAACTTGGGCCAACTAGATGTGGCTTGAGCAGAACAGGCATTAGAAAATACAAGAGAACAACATGGCGTACAAAACACCACATTGTCCTTGTAATTTGAATTAAAAACATCTTTTTACAAACTTGAAAAATTATCAACAAAAATACAAACAGGAACAAAAAACAAGATTCCAAAGAAATCTACCACAACTATCTTGGAGATAATGATCTCCAAGGCTTATTCCACTTGTGTGAATCAGACAAATATCATGGAAATTGACTGGATGCTGTGCAAATAACAATTGGACATACCAGCAGGAAGCCTTGAGGAAACTTTCCACTGGAAGAGGACCTGAACCTGTTGAAATTCATCTGAAAAGAGGGGCCCTTGACTTCTGAGGTCTGAAGAGAACAGAACTACTATTATTGTGTGTGCTGACTATTTTCTAACATTATCAAAAGTTGAAGACCTTATAAACCAACATCAAGGTATTTACCTCAGGCCGCAAATGGCCAATTGTGTTTACACATTTCTTTTGCTTTTCACCAAGCAAAAACTGTATCTGCGCCAGAGAGGTTCAAGAGCCCCTGACATATAAATATACTGTTTTTTACTCAATCTTGGTGAATCCTGAAATCCACAGACTTTTATTCTAACCTAATTTAAGAAAAAGGAAGATTTGCAAAGAAAGAGTCAGGTTCTGAAGAGGACTCAAGTGGTTCTAGCATATGTTTTGAATGTTCTTTTTTTTTTACAAAAAATTGTTCAATTTGTTTCCTTCTGCCTGAAGTCTTTTATGCAGCTCAGACTTGAAAAATAGAGAAAGAGAGTTTTTTTGTACGACTTAAGAAACACATGCGTCAAATAAATTCCAGAAGAATTCAACCTTGCTCCACCGTCGAAAAAATAATTGTTTGTAGAGATAATCCGCAGCTTTTTCATTGACATCAGTTTCAGTTTGTACCCTGCTACACCCGAAAATGTCTCTTGCCTTATCACCACTGTGCAAGAAGTGGCTCTCATGCATGGACACCATAGCTAACGCTGCTCTGTATTATATGCTATACGAGCGAAAAGCACAGCACCTCGGAGACCTTCCCTGGCTGTGCTCAACCAGCAGCACTGAGTAACGGCGACTGCATTTTCCCCTCGCTGCCATTCCAGATAACTGCCCTGACTGCAATTTCCCTGGGATCCGAGATGTGTGCTGAATGCCGGCCAGGAGCGGGGGATCCGCAAGGGAGACTGATGGCGAATAAGGAAAGTGTCGGGATCGTTAACTTTTGGAATACTGTATACTGAGGACGGAGCTTACTGCTAATTTGAAAACACTTGTTCTTTGTTTTTAAATCCTATTCTCGGCCCTCTCATCCTCGATCAAGATACATTTTTTTCTCGGTTTTTTTTTTCAGTAGTGGGGTATAATTGCGAGAATCGAACCTCGTGATTTGGAGAATTGGCGCGCAAAAAGGAATCAGCACACTGGCCGATTATCGTAAGCGTTATAAGAA